GTACCCTACAACCACGATTGATTCTTTTCAGGGGTAAAAAGTCAGGTAGAACTGTAAGGATATCGGATGATAAGGGGCTGAGCAAACCACAGGAGAAACCGTTTCCTACCGCCGAAGTCATCGAGCTTAGACGACTCGCTGACGAGTACAAGGTAACTCCGGGAACAAAGATGTCACTGTTCCACACTCTTTCTTTCACAAACGTTTACTCTTCGACGTTTCAATCGGGAACGACACTCTCTTTTTCCTCCATTTCTTTAGTGTCTTTTGGTTTTCCGCGCGCGCACGCGCGCGTGTGTGTATGTGTCGGCAGGCTTTCACTGTCCATAGAACATCCATTAGTGTGCATACTTGTGTGTGTGTGTGTGTATGTGTGTGTCTTTTTTAAATATACATCCTGTACGTGTTACAAACACAGAACCAGAGAAGATGATATATCGGCGATTTACGAGTTACGCACTGAAATTTGCATGATGTTTGTCTTGTCAATCCCCCCCCCGAACGATTTTTCTAACCGTTTATCTCACACAACACACATTGTCTTGAACATCAATCGACCATCGTCGTCATGAGAAATCGAGTACGATCTTCTCTCTCTCTCTCTCTCTCTCTCGACTCGCATACTCATCGTACACGTGCATGCCACATATACACATACTGCTCAGACGTGAAAATTGTTCGTGATCGAATATAAACCTTACAATTAGTATGATCTGTGTCTTTCAAAGCATGTTCTCTATATGTGTGTGTGTGTGCGTGCGTGTATGCTCACGTACGCGACAGGCGCGTTATAACCTAGTGTCTAGGAAGTAAAAAGCAACAGAATGATTGGTTCTGATTTACATTAGCATCGCGACTGGGGTTGCGGTCTGGCAGCCGAGGACGAGGCTTCGCTGTGGAAACGAGTCTCCAGTAACCACGCTCTCAACGCGCTGTCCCTTGCCAGGCCAGTACACTACTCCACTCTCTCTCTCAAACATTTCAAGTTGCTCTATGTTTCAAAGTCAAAGACGGTAAAACGGTGTTCGTTTCGCAATACGATCAACAGTGATACAAAGGTAGAGGAACGTCGATGGTAAATCGTTGGACGAAACGATCACTGGTTGTACGAATGGAAATAAGTTGTGAAATTTGACTATTTAGTTAAAGAGCAGGGTCGGCTCTACTGACGATGCAACACGTGCAATTACAATTAGGATAGAAAAATTGGTATAAAATCGTTTATTAAAAAATTATTTCTGTTAATAATATTATAAAGTAATTAAGTATTTTTTTTTTAATATTTAAGAGATTATTATATTACAGTAATTTTTTTCTTTCTTTTAATTCTCTCTCTCTCTCTCTCTCTCTCTCTCTTTCACTTTCTACAAAATATATATACTACAGCAGGTAGTGCGATTATTTTTCATTAACTTATGAACTTTCATTAAAATCTAGTATTTCCGATGTATCATCATAGTTTTTAAGATGTTACTGTGAAAATCTTTGTTGACAAGAAATATATTGGTTTTCCTAGTTGGTCGGCCCTGGATTAGAAATAAAACGTTGTCAGAAATAGTTGCAGTCCTCTGATATTAGATAAAATTTCTCGAGTATAACTTGAAGCGATTTATTTTGATAAAAAGTTGTTAGGTTACTGTATATCAAGGAAATTTTTTAAAATTTTGCATACCTGTTTTAACATGTTTCAAAACAACATGGCAGTTATTAAAATTATTGTATATTTTCCGCAGAATACCATAATTTATGCTGCTGTATTAATTTAAAAAAAAAAGAAAAGAAAAAATGAATTTAATCTACAGAAAAATGATTATTTCGCGAACTAGAATTACGTCAATATCGACAAGTATCGAAGAGTCATTCTAATTCGATAAATAACCATTCTTATGCAGATTAAATTCATCTTTGATTTTTTTCTTCTCAGACGACGATCGTAATAAGCAAAGAGATAAATTGCAACGAACATACAGTAATTTGAATGACAATAAAGATAATAATAATAAAGATAGAGGTGTACGAAAATTACACCATATTATCTTGAAACACGAGCAAATACGGTATACGAAACTTTAAAGCTCCGAGCAAGCAGACCTTACCTCACACAGGCATACACACAGGGTGCGTCATCGCCACGTCTGACTCAACACGAATAGATTCTACTAGCGCTCGGTCATCGATCGGTGATCGATTCCGACGATAAATCTTCCACCGTTTGTCGTTGATATTCGCTGCCAATCTGTCGTCAGAAACAGACACTTCCATTCATATGCACACAACACTGTATACACTCGAGCGAGGAAAGACAGAAGGAAAGAAAAGAAAAGAAAAGAAAAGAAGAGAGTCAAGCGTAGTTGTACAGGGGGCCGAGTCGTTCGAACCGTTCGCACGGGTTTTGTCGTAGCTGCCTTTTATTTCTTCCAAGGCGATTGTGCCTCGCGCCGAACTGTCAACAGTCGACGAGAGAAAAAAAAGAAAAAAACGTTCGTGACGAGTGATTGCGTATTTAGGTCGGTGACGAAGGAAGAGAAAGAAAAGGAGAACACGAGGAAGGTCGCCCCGATTACTGCCACGATAACTATGCCTCCTGCTGGCCGACCATCTTCGGTACAAGCTAGACCCATTCATGGAATTTTACAGGACGATTCTAAAGCGGTACGTGGGCGTTGATCAACGATGAAGAAAAAAAAAAAGAAAAATATGAAAATTTATATACTGCATTGCAGGACACGGAAAGAGCCATTGCTCGCGCAAGAAAAGATTTCTTGATCCGCCATCATTTGGATCGTACCACTGGCGTAGGTGAGTGTATTGAAACAGTTTCAAAAGACATGGTTCAATTGGCCTAATATGAGATCCATTTCATAGTAGAAATTTTTACATTAACGTATTTCCCTGTGGAACATTCAATTGATTTCGACAATTACTACATGCGGAGAAAGCATCGTTGCAACATCTAAGAGCTCTGTGAGACTACAGATAAAACAGGATATTCACATTAGGCAACGACGACCTGTACAAATGTTCAAAATAATCCTTCCTTTTCAAAATAATCTTTTCTTTTCTTCTCTTTTTCGCATCAGGTGACGGCGCACTGCTTCCCTCTCCAACGAGAGAGAAGCTGGAGCCCGTGATACCACGGCGTCGGGAGGAAACGAAGGAGCACCGTGAAGAGATCCAGCCTAAGACTAAATCAAGTCCTAAGAACAGTCCGAGAACTGGTCGTTCTCAAAGCCTTGGTCCCACTGTGACTGAACGTCGATCACCTAAACGTCAACCACCGCGTGCACCGTCCGTCACTAAAGACGCCAAGGTATTTTCTCGCCAGGAAAGAAACCCTCGATGAACATTTAATTAACGACATTTTTTGTTCTTTTTTTTTTTTAATTTAATTAATACTTAAGACTCGATCGTGCGTAAGCTTGAAATAATTTGAAGGCTAATTCATCTGATACAACGTTATCGATCGAGTTTCCTTTGTTCAGGAGAAAGAGAAGGAGCCAAAGGACAAGGAGAAAGAGCAAAGGGAGAAGGGCGGTGAGCCTGAAAGGCATCCACGACCGAGTAAGTAACCCGAACGAGCATCGACACATCCTTCGTCATCTCTATCTTTTTTTTCTTTTTTTTTTTTTTGTAGAAAATTTGATAGAAAAGTCGATCGATTTAGTACCCAAGAGATCGTATTCCAAATCGATTGGCGCTCGTAATCTGACGAGTTCCGTTTGCATTTTCGTGCATATACCATTGAATTTGATTGGATAGAAATTTCTCTCTCTCTATATATATATATATATTTATACATATTATGCGAGTTTGGTTTGCTGTTTGCTCTTGTGGGTCCCAAAAAGCCAAACCGTTCGTCATACCTGACCGTATTTTTTTGCCCTGTTCGAATCGTGTTGCAAGAGACATTCACCGCTTCTAACGAGTAAGAAGTATCGCTTGTACCGTTCTTTCTCCGTGACTGTGGTAACTTCATTAAAAAGCGTCGATCGACATATGTATATAAACGATCGTAGATCGATCTCCGTGACGCGTTTCTTCTTTTCGTTGAAGCGAATTCTTTAAGCGGTGTGTGTCGGACACGTTAACTGCCAAGTGGTCGTTAATGTTTTAGGCAAATGCATGATACTCCTGTTTAATCGTTACTATCTCTTTGTCTCTGCCTTTGAGTAACCACATCTCTAGTAACCAGTAGCCCATTTATTAATTGTCCGTGCAGAAAGTTTTGCGACATGTTGTTTATCCCCCTATCTTTCCCGAACAGCCTTCGTAAACCGCGAGATAGCCTTAACCAACTCGTTCACCCATTCCTAGTTGTATTAATATGAATATGCCGAGTAGATACTGATATAATATCGATCGAGTAAATGAAAATCATCTTGACTGTTCGTATTCTTTTCCCCCGACATCATTTTTATTCGAATAATACATAATTGATGCGCTTGATCCAACTTGATCCATCGATAGATAGATAATTCTCGCCACGTGTCAATAATTGTTGTTTCATATATCTGCACCCCTAGCACCATGACTTTTCATCCTACGTGACGCCTCTCGTTCACTCGTAATCATCATCGGTCTCACCATCTCTTCGATCTACCATCGTTCTTCGTCATCGTCACGGTCGTGTAGTCAGCCAAATAGTCATCATACATATCGACTCATCCATTGAACCATCTAGCGCCGAGGCGGTGAGCAACAAGCATTCGTATGTCAGTCGTAGTCGTTTCACTTCAACTACATACATTAACAACATCATTTCAATCCATTGATATTGTGGTCTCGCAAAAAAAAAAGAAAAAAAAAGAAAAACAATCTTATAATTTTATATCGTTATCTTCTTGACTGATCGAGATCACTGGATGCACCGATAGAAATAGAATAAATTTTTTTGACAGAAAACGAAGACGTTTTCCCCCTTACATCCGCGTTCATTCGGCCTCACCTCCCCCCCCCC